CTCACCTGGCTGCTTCTTGCTCCTCGTGGCCCGACTGAGGGCTGCTGGGAGCAGGGGGCGGGGCTTGTTGCATGTGCCCATCCCCTGGGCTCCTTACTGCTGGAGCTCCGCTCCTGTGCGCTCCCGCAGGAAATGACCCCTGGTCAATATTATCCATTCTGACTGACAGCTGTTCTCCAACACCTCAGAAAGGGCCTTTCCCACTTTGACTGGAACTGCCAGGGAATGAAGCTGGGGCCTTCCCAGGGAGGGGGACACTGGCTGGGGAAGGGAAGACTGATTGGGGAGGCATGACTCCCCTTCGCTTCCCCAGCCGCCCTGCCGGGAGCTGCACAATATGTGTGAAAGAGCCGCATGTGGCTCCCAAGCCTCAGTTCGGCCACCCCTGCCCTAGCGCCACGAGACGGACTGAGCGCCCGTCTCTGGCCCCAGCTCCTGCCAACCTAGTACTTTGAAAGCAAGAAACTGCAAGTAGATAAATAGGTACCGCTTCATTGGGAAGGTAACGGCGTTCCGTGTGCCTTGCCGTCTAGTCGTGCCGGCCACATGACCATGGAAACATCTTCGGACAGCGCTGGCTCTTCGGCTTGGAAAAGGAGATAAGCACCGCCCCCTAGAGTCGAATTTGACTGGCTTTTGAGCAAGGGAAACCTTTACCTTTACCTTATTTTTCTCCTCAAGGGGGACCCAAATCGGTTTACAACATTCTCCCACCTCTGTTTTTATTCTCACAACGACCCTGTGAGGTAGGTTAGGCTGAGAAAGAACAAGTGGCCAAAGGCCACTCATGGCAAAAGGGGGATTCGAATCCAGGCTGCCTTCATCCTAATCAGATGCCCTAACCTCTACACCGTGCTGGCTCTCATATAAGAAGCATGATTTCTGGCTCCTTTATCCTAGGAACAAACAATTGACTCACTGACTAGCTCTTATGGGCTTTATTTTGGAACAGACTCCGGAATCCCTTAACGAGTTTTTAATTTCTGAAGAGACAGCTGCAGGATCTCAAACCTTCTTGGAATAGAATCCTTTGTCCCTGATCCCCTTATCTTATTTTCCATGGAATGAGAAACGGCCTTCGGTCCTCCCTCCAAGGTAGGTGTTTTTGTTGGGTGATAGTGAGATATTGAAAAAATGGTATTTAGCAGAGATAAGATAGTCCAGCAGAGCCAGAGTAAAATAATTCAGACTGAGAGTCCATGTGTGATTAAAATATAAAGTTTTTACTAAATTCTAGCATGGGAAGGGTAACTGGGATGAAAATAACAACAGAGCATAATCGGCTACATCCTTACTCTATAAAGACAAAACTAGAAGAGAGAGAGTATGGCTGCTCTTCTTCTTCAGAACACCAAACAAAAACGGGAAGAGAAGCCATAAAATGGTAATATACCTTGACACTTTAGTCCCAATCAAATCCCTAGATCAGGGAGAAAATTCCCGGGCTTTCCTACAGCTAAAGAACACTGGTTACATGAGAAACATGTGACTTCCTGTGAGTAACATAAACAAACATTTAACCCCAGATATACTGAGTGTTTTCAACTTGTAATACCCAACAGCTTTCAAAAGGTCACCCTCACCACATAGGGCTTCTCGACTAGGGAAATAAATGACTGAATGTTTCCGGCGGCTGGGGAAACGAAGAAAAGAGAGACAGGCTGGAGAGGTGCGCAAGCCGAAGGCAGACTGGGAAAAGGACAGTGGAGGGCAACCAATTTAATTAAATTAATTAATTAATTAATTAATTCAATTGATACCCCGCCCTCCCCGCAAGCAGGCTCAGGGCGGCTTACATAATTGGTCTAAAACGATGATGAGGGAGCACCTTCCCTATAAGGAAAGGCTGAAGAGCCTGAGACTTTTCCATTTAGAAAAGAGATGACCAAGGGGAGGACTGACGAAAGGTTATACCCAACTTTGTTGGTCTTAAAGGAGCCACTGGACTCAAACTTTGTTCTAAAGGGGGGACGACATGATAGAGGTTTATAAAACTATGCATGGGGTGGACAGAGTTGACGGAGAGAATTTTTTTGCTGTCTTTCAAAATACTAGACCTCGAGGGCATCCAACGAGGCTGACGGGCAGTAGGTTCCGGATGGACAAAAGGAAATACTACTTTACACAGAAAGTGATTCAGATGTGAATCACTACCGCAGGATGCCATGATGTCCATAGGAATAAACAGCTTGAAAAGGGGATTAGACAGATTCAGGGAGGAGAGGTCTAACAGTGACTACTAGCCATGGTGATTAAAGGGAACTTCCAGGTTCAGAGGCAGTGAGCCGCTGAATCCCAGTGCCAGGAGGTAACATCAGAAAAAGGCCTCTGCCTCTATGTGCTGTTGCTGGCCCTCCAGAGGAAATTTGGCCACTGTGTGAGACAGGAGGGAATCCAGCAGAACTCTTCTGATGTTTTTATAAAGGCCTTGGCCTCTCTGCCCTGTTGTTGACCGTTCAGAGGAACTGGTTGGCCACTGTGTGAAACAGGATGCTGGACTACATGGACTACTGGTTTGATCCAGCGGGGCTCTTCTGATGCTCTTATAGGTAGATTCATGGAGGAGAGGTCTAACAGTGGCCACTAGCCCTGGTGACTGAGGGGAACCTCCACACTCAGAGGCACTAAGCCTCTGAATCCCAGAGCCAGGAGGCAGCATCAGGGGAAGGCCTCGGCCTCTCTGCCCTGTTGTTGGTCCTCCAGAGGATTGGCCACTGTGTGAGACAGGATGCTGGACTAGATGGACCACTGCTCTGATCTAGCATGACTCTGCTGATGTTTTTATGAAGGCCTCAGCCTCTATGTCCTGTTGTGGGCCTCCAGAGGAACTGGTTGGCCACTGTGTGAGACCGGATGCTGGACTAGATGGACCACTGCCCTGATCCAGCAGGACTCTGCTGATGTTTTTATGAAGGCCTCAGCCTCTATGCCCTGGTTGGCCACTGTGTGAAGCAGGATGCTGGACTAGATGGACCCTCCCTGGTCTGACCCAGCAGGGCTCTTCCAATGTTCTTATGAAGGCCTCGGCCTCTCTGTCCTGTTGTTGGCCCTCCAGAGGAACTGGCTGGCCACTGTGTGAGACCGGATGCTGGACTAGATGGACCACTGCCCTGATCCAGCAGGACTCTGCTGATGTTTTTATGAAGGCCTCAGCCTCTATGCCCTGGTTGGCCACTGTGTGAAGCAGGATGCTGGACTAGATGGACCCTCCCTGGTCTGACCCAGCAGGGCTCTTCCAATGTTCTTATGAAGGCCTCGGCCTCTCTGTCCTGTTGTTGGCCCTCCAGAGGAACTGGCTGGCCACTGTGTGAGACCGGATGCTGGACTAGATGGACCACTGGCCTGATCCAGCAGGGCTGTGCTTGTGTTCAGACCTACAGCTGAAATCCTGCCAGATTCACTTGACAAAGGCAAACCCGACAGGGAGAAAGCGTCTCCTTTCCAGGTGCCGTTGACACAAACAGGGAGGGTGGAAGGAAGGCTGAGCAAACAGATTACCTCCTCCCTCCGGAGGTACGAGTGCATGGTGTCCATGCTCACGTCTGCATGGCCGTGGACGCTTCTTCCGTGGATGTAGAAGCCGTAGCACCTGTGCATCAAGATGAACACGGACACCTACAGGCGCAAAGAGGGGCAACGTGAAGCCCAAGATCGCACGGCAACTACTAGACAAGGGTCATGCAACATTAGGCTTAACCCGCGGCCGGTAAACACCCACCCTCAGCCCAATCCCCCACCCTTGAGAAACTGAGGAATAGAAGGGGAAAAATGGCCAGAAAATGGCCTCCATAGTGTCTTTACCATAGAGATTAGGAGAAATTCCTAGAGGGTCACTTGGAAGCGATGTTGCCTCTTCCAAAGGTTGCCATCCTCCAGATGGAACCTGGAGATCTCCCAGAATTACATGGTGATCTCCAGACTACACCTGAAGAAATGGCTGCTTTGGGTGGTGGGCATTCTACACCACTGAAGTCCCTCTTCTCCCCAAACCCCACCCTCCCCAGGCTCCACCCCCAAATATCCAGGAATTTCCTAACCTGGAGTTGGCAACCCAACAGGATCTTCCCCAGACTCCACTGTCCACCCTCAAAGTCTCCCACCGTTTGCTGAGGCAGTGCTAGCAACTCCCCCTTTAAAGGGTTGTTAATTAGTTAACAAGTACAGGTGGCTCAAGTGGTTAAGACGCTGAACTGCAGGCTGTGGACGGTCGGTAGTTCAGCAGTTCGAGACCCGAGTGTGCCGCATGACGGGGTGAGCTCCCGTCTCTAGTTCCAGCTCCTGCCACCCTAGCAGTTCGAAAGCAAGAAATTGCAAGTAGATAAATAGGGACCGCTTCGGTGGGAAGGTAACAGCGTTCCGTGCGCCTCGGTGTTTAGTCATGCCGGCCACATGACCACGGAAACGTCTTCGGACAGCGCTGGCTCTTTGGCTTTGAAATGGAGAGGAGCACGGCAACCCTAGAGTCGGATTCGACTGGCTTTCGAGCAAGGGAACCTTTACCTTTACCTTTTTACGCTTAACTAAGCTCTCCTGCAGTGCAACCGTGTGCCCTGCATATACAGACCACTGAGAGGCCTGCGTAAATCCTGGATAACCGCCGGAACTCTGCGTTTTCCCACAGTGCAATGGGGCAGATGAGAGGGGAATGCCACAGGGGGTCTCACAGCCCTCCAAGACGACTTTGGTGCATGGGGCATCACCAGCCCTTTTCCTCGGTGCTGCGGGGACACGACTCACATTGCTCAAGGAACAAAGGTCGGTGAACTGCTGGATCTTGTCCTCCACAAACCGCTCATAGAGCCCAACTGAAATCACCACCTGCAAAGAAAGAGCATCGCGTGAGGGGGGACGCAAGCGCACCCCTGGGTTTCCTCTGTCGCCCAGTGGTTCAGTTTCTAGCTGTCAAATACCCTGACCCCGGAACTAGGGTTTGAATTTGGATCTACCTGAGCTGAAAATATACCTGAAAAATAACATCGGTATTTTGGGGATATATTTCGGCATCCCAAAGGTATCTGGGATTTTTTTGGAAAACCAGGGGGGAAAATATACCCCCAAAATCCTGGATATATTTGGGGATTACCAGGAAGATCAGCAAAGCCCCCCAAAAAACAGCTGAGCTGGCAAGGAGCAGTCTCCCCGCCGGCTCAGCTGGTGGGGGGTGTCTCTTGTGCAGTCCCATTTAAAGGGACTACACAAGAGAGCCCAAAACTGAGCCGGTGGAGAAACTGCTTCTTGCTAGCTCAGCTGTTTCCCGGGCTTTCTTCTGCAGTCCCTTTAAACACGCCCAGTTTAATGGGACTGCAGAAGAAAGCCCGGAAAGCAGCTGAGTGGTGGGAGCCCATTGTTCCCACAACTCAGCTGGTTTTTGGGCTTTCTTAGCTGCTTTTTGTGGCTTTGCCGCTGCTTCCCCCCCTCGTTTTTTCTTCTCAAGTCTGTTGGACCCCCCAAAATTCAGGATTTCCCCCAAAAATCCCAGATCTGAATACTTTACCAGTATTGGGATCCAGGATTTTTTTTGGAATCCTGAATTTTGGGGGGTACGGTAGACCTGAACCGAAAAACACTGTGAAAAAAATCACACATCCCTATCCAGAATCCAAAGCCGGCCACCCCAGAGCCTCAATCTGCTTGCAATCCAGGCTGCCCAGTCTCTCCGGTGGCCTCAAGGTGGCCAACAGAGGCATCATACCCTGCCTAGAAAGACCCTGTGGTAGCTTCCAAGATCAGCTGACTGAAGGGACCAATGACGGCAGCCTTGGGGATATAAAAGCTGCTGCCTGCAGGCTGGGCCCTTTAATCTGAACAGCTCAACTGGGAACGTAGAGACAGCTATTGCTGTGAGATCCTGGGACTGGCAGAGAGCCAGTTTGGTGTAGTGGTTAAGTGCGCGGACTTTAATCTGGGAGAACCGGGTTTGATTCCCCACTCTTCCACTCGCAGCTGCTGGATGACCTTGGGCAAGCCACAGTTCTGTCAGAGCTGTTCTCTCAAGGACAGTTCTCTCAGAGCTCTCTCACCCCCACCTACCTCACAGGGTGTCTGTTGTGGGGAGGGGAAGGGAACGGAGTTTGTAAGCCGCTCTGGGACTCCGAGTGAAGGGCGGGGTATCAATCCAATCTCTTCTTCTTCATCATCATCCTGAATGCTAAGCAATTCATAGGAAGCAACGAAATCGGCTTCCTGTATTCCTTAAGACAACAAAACATCTCTCTGAAGATGCCCAATCCTGCACCAGACCCTGGCTTTCCTCTCCCTTGTGTCATAAGAACATAAGAACATAAGAGATGCCAATGTTGGATCAGGCCAAAGGCCCATCCAGTCCAACACTCTGTGTCACACAGTGGCCAGAAATACCAGTGCCACCAGGAGGTCCACCAGTGTCATGCAACCCAAACCCTGTTCCAAAACCCACTTCAGTCTATGGAAAGTCAGTTTTTATGTTCTCAGAGTGAGAAAGGACCTGCACAATCCCCACGGCCAGCCAGATGGAAGCGGCGATCCCAAAGCGGAGGATGGGACTCCACGGAGCCAGAAAGGTGTTAGAGCCTGGTTGGAGATTCACGTTCAGGTCTCTCGAGGCAAGGTTCTTCAGTCCCACCACCTAGGAAGAAGCAGCAGCCAGTGTGGTTTCCCCCAGCTAGATAAGGCACGGCTAACCCTTGTGCCTAAGAGACGAGGGTTCTAATCTGTCACCAGCTGTGACCTTGGTGGGCGGGTATCCCCGGGCGAGGCATTATTCATCCACTCTCGCCTTCTTTGCAAAACCAGATTCAGGATTTACTGTTGCAAGGGAGACCGAGGTACAGAATCCAAGCACGGGAGAGGATCAGGTAAACTTCACCTGGCCAAAGCTGGGCACCATAATCATGGCCTGGTCAATTTATGGCATTTCAATATAATCAGTGGTCCTCCTATGGCAGGAGCGCACAGGAGCGGAGCTCCGGCAGTAAAGAGCCCAGGCAGTAAACAAGCCCCACCCCCTGCTCCCAGCAGCCCTCAGTCAGAGCAAGAAGCAGCCAGGTAAGTTGCAGAGCCCCCCCCCCACCTCCCTGGTCCAAAACAGTCCAGTGGCAACTTTAAGAGCAAGTTTTATTCAGGTACAAGCTCTCCCTCCTCTGTGAGGACAGATCTGCACGTCCCCCCCCCCCAATAGCTAGAAACCAAAACAACCCCAGCCTGAGCGGTGGGTGTTGCCTTCTGACACACTTCCGGTGATGTCAGGGGTGTGTGGCATATGCAAATAAGTTATGCTGAGTTATGCCAATGAGCTCCTGCACCTCTTTTTCTACGAAATGAGCCCTGAGTATAATAAAAGTTTTTCTTTCATGTGAAAACACACAAACACATGAAGCTGCCTTATACTGAATCAGACTGCTGGTCCATCAAGGTCAGCGTTGTCTACTTAGCCTGGCAACGGTTCTCCAGGGTCCCAGAGGTCGTTCCCACCACCTACTGCCTGGTTTTCTAACTGGAGATGCTGACGGTTGAACCCGCAACCTTTCGCTTGCCAAGCAGATGCTCTACCACTTTGCCACAGCCCCTCCCCAGGACCCATGAGATTGTGCTTTGGGGAAGGGTTGCCAGCCTGCAGGTGGGTAAAAACAGAAAACACCGTGTTGAAATAATAAACACAATATTCACATGCGCTTACAGCAAAATAGATTTGATTTATATACACAACATCAACTCTAGTGTATTGTAAACATTGTCAAACGACAACATCACATTTCAAACACTTTCAAACTAAGTTATGTAACACGAAGAGTCCAACTGTCTTCTTCCTGACGGAGGACAAATACCAATGTACAGTTATTTGCGCCAAACAATGCAGCAACCTATTGTACATTTCCCAAGTGATGATCCATCAGGTAAAGCGAGCAGGCAACTTGTATTTCTCACTGTGATGATTCAGCCTAGCCAGCAAGCCTGGTAGATGTATTTTCCCATGAGGTGATTCAGCTAGCAAGCAGGCCTAGCAACACGCCTTCCGGGCACAGCGTGTTTCGAGCAAATCTTCTTCATGTCTCCTCATGGGTTAAATGTATCTCTGGAACTTAGTTCATTTTTATAGTGATAAGTAATGGTACTTGGATCTGAATTCTGTATCATAGTAGGCTTAGTTAGGAATCTGGGTTTGGTACATTTTTTCATTTTTTGATGGCTAATTTTTATTAATAATACCTTTATTGAGGTGTTTGTGTCATCATAATTGTTACCATTGGACTTGCGAACACGTATGTTATTTTGAAAATACCCCTTGAATTGTATGATTTGCTATGCTGTAAGTTTTAAATTGGGTTCAGAATCCAAGCAACTGCTTGACATTGGTCACTTTGTAAGATGGTGCAAGTACTGTATCTTTAAGTCCTTAGGGAACAGTAGTGCAGCTGTGCTTTATTAGAGAGGTCTTTCTGGGATGTTCCCATGGAGAACCAGAACAGCCATGTTTACATTGTTTGACTTTTGCATGGGTAAATTCAAGAGCGGTGGGTGAGTGCAGGAAATTTAGCCTTCTCCCCCCCCCCCCTGTTTTTCCTGGTACTATGTAAGGATATTGAATTTACATTATATTATGATATGTATTATTGTTCAATTCCAGGAACATTTATGCCTGAAGAAGATTTGCTCGAAACATGCAGGCTGTGCCCGGGAGGCGTGTTGCTCGGCTTGCTTGCTAGGTAGGGGGCACCCTCCCCCGCTGTGGGGGCCGTTGGAGCGTCGGAGCCCGGTGGAAGGAGAAAGCGGCAAGCGGCGGAGATGGCGTCCGGGTACATCGGAGGCGGAACAGACGTCGGCAGAGAGGCAGAGCCAGGACGACACGCGAGCGTGGACGGCGCAGGCGGGGCGGAGCCGTGAGGACTGAGCCAAGGCCGCGCCGGAGCATGCCACATGACAGAAGGGCTCGACCGATCCGCCACTAAAAGACCGCCAGAAAGGAGCCAGAAGCCGAGTGACGCCGAAAGGCGATGTAGCCGACCTGGGAGAAACACCCCTCCACTGGGTGCTGGTAGGGATTGTCCCCACCCCCAATAATTGTGGCCATAGGTTAGGGATAAATGAGTAACTGTAGCCGCTCAGAGACCCCTTAGGGGGTTACAGCGGGGTAGTAAGCTGAAAGAAATAATAAATAATAAATAATATATCTACCAGGCTTGCTGGCTAAGCTGAATCATCACAGTGAGAAAGACAAGCTGCCTGCTCGCTTTACCTGATGGATCATCACTTGGGAAATGTACAATAGGTTGCTGCATTGTTCGGTGCAAATAACGGTACATTGGTATTTATCCTCCGTCAGGAAGAAGACAGTTGGACTCTTCGTGTTATATAACTCAGTTTGAAAGTGTTTGAAACGTGATGTTGTCGTTTGAAAGTGTTTACAATACACTAGAGTTGAGGTTGTGTATATAAATCAAATCTATTTAGCTATAAGTGCATGTGACTATTGTGTTTATTATTTCAACACGGTGTTTTCTGTGTTTAGCTACTAACTTAGCCGTGTTCCCTGTGTGCTTGTTGTGAGTCTCCAGGTGGGGCTTGGTGATCTCCCACTATTACAACTCATCTCCAGACAAAGAGACCAGTTCCCGTGGAGGAAATGGCTGCTTTGGAGGGTGGACTGGATGGCATTGCACCCTGCTGAGGCCCCTCCCCAAACCCCAACTTCTCCAAGCTCCACCCCCCAAATATTCAAGTATTTCCAGACCCGGAGCTGGCAAATTTACTCTGGTGTGTGCTGCAGTACAGAGGACTGACTAGGTAGGCAGTGTTTAAGAGCGGTGCAGTGTTTAAGAGCGGCAGACTCTAATCTGG